CCGGCTAGGCCGGCAGTCGGCAACATGGACAGCGGAGCGAGGAGAATCGCTGATCCTCGCGAAACCGCCACCACAGGGCAGGGCTAAGAACGGGGGAAACGGCCTGGTTTACATCACAGAACCCTCCGAGATGAACGGTTAGGCCTCACATCAGGCAGCTAATCTCTCCTGAGACTGAGCTGAAGACTGAATCTGTCTTAGAAATCTTTATTTTTGTTGCCAGAGATGAAGGGAAATACGGCTCCACTCTTTCAGACATCTGGATTTCAAAGGAATGCTTTGGGTGCAAGAGTCAATTATTTAACAGTAGATGGCACTAATTTACCATACTTTTAAGAAACAATACACACCCCCCCATCCCCTTCATCATCTTTTCACAGGTTGTTCATCAGCTGCCAAGTTCTCATTTTCCTAGTCTAATCACTCATCTGTATTTTCTAAATTCAGCTATGTACTTAGTCTAAATAAAGCAATTAAGGTGGCAGAAGAGAGCCTAACAGCTCCAAAACTCACACACTCAAAATATGTATTCAAAAGAGAATAAAACAGAAAAAATATTGCTTTATGACCAACACAGATAAACTCCATTAGTTGAGACATGAAACTCGGTTGCAGCATGCTTAAACAGGTTCTGTTATCAATCTAAAAATCACTCCGAAGACCAGTAACATCTCCATTCTGAGACTCCTTCTAACCTGCCCATCAACTTCTGTGCAATCCCAGCTTAGAAGAGCGTAAAACAGTATCTAAAACTGCAATGCTCATTTCAAAGACCATGGTCAAATAAGGCTCATGATCCAAAGGAACTGGAACAAAAACGAACATTGGATTTCAGACTGACTAAACATTTGTATACATTCATAGCAAAGCCAGCACAAAAAAAATCCTCTCACTTTCTGTCAGCTGCTGAAGTTGATGAAAACAATAGAAAAAATATGCAAAAAGAGTAGGAAGGCAAAAACAATAAAGAAAGGAAATTAACAGCAGAAAAGCCACATTCTTAAACTCTTCTTTCATATTCCTCCTTATTCACTTGGCGTTATGAGAGGAATGGACTGGTTCTGGAGTCTTGGCCAATAGCAAAGGATACAACAAAAACCATGAACAGGAAGCCATGAATTTAAAGCTTACTCCAGATCCCAGTACACTCAGCTTATCCTACTAGGAGGGCTTTCAATTTTTAAGCCAGTTCTACAAGGGACTTAGCAGGTCGAATCTTGAGCGTGCAAAGTTATCTGAGGATCTAGACTGATTCAGGATAGAGGCCAAACACCAACATTTCTCCTCCTCCCCACGGCCCCCACTGTACCACAATGATTTGTAAGTATTTCAAGCCACGATACAAGACGCTTACCTGAAGGTGATTAAATGAAAAGCAATCCGTGGAGGAATCCTCTGCGAAGCCGCTGCTATCGGAGTGCTGGCTAGCAGTCCGTAACAACTGATCTATTTTAAAAGAAAGTAAAACCCAGCTGTAATTACTTGACAAATCCCAATCTTTTAAGCCCAACTACATTTAATACATGCTTTTCTTTTACATCGCAAGTAGCAGATGTAGATAATAGAATTCTTTCTCAAATTCATCATTGAACAATTCAGAAAAATAAGTAGTTTGTTTCAAGCATATAAAGCACAAAACCTTTTCTCATACAAAGCTCAGCTTGTGAAGTTTCCAGCCTCAGTGGAACAGCAATCACCTTCCACATTTTTGTTTCTTGTGCTGTGGAAAAGAAGCCCCATTCCACTGACTCTCCTTCCACAGAGCTGACCTACCGGTCACAGCTGATACGCTGTCCAAGGAGCAGCTGCTTTTGTGCTACTGACACGCGCTGACCTGCCGCGCGCCCCGATCGCAGGGACGTGGGTGACCACGAGTATCCTGCCAGCCGTGCCCACGCAGAGGAATAAACAACACGAGCAGAGGGTTGGTGCTACTGACCCGCGCTGCCCTGCCGCGCGCCCCGATCGCAGGGACGTGGGTGACCACCAGTATCCTGCCAGCCGTGCCCACGCAGAGGAATAAACAACACGAGCAGAGGGGACGCGGCCCTCCCGAGACTTCGGTAAGCGACGGGCTGGGCCGTGAACGCCGCTGGCAACTGCGCTGCTTGCCCGGCTTGCAGGGCACAGCACCAGCGCATCAGCAGGCAGCCTGCCGAGGCACATCCCGGCGCTCCAGAGAGGGGCCTCCTGCTTGCCCTTCTCCTCGCACCCTAGCTAAAGGGCTTGGGCAGCCCGCGAGCCTCGGCGCTGCCCGGGGGAGGTTTCCTGTGGCACCAGGTCCCTGCGGATCCCCAGGATCCCAGGAGATCCCCAGGAGCTCCGCAGCAGCGGGACACACGGCCAGGCCTCGCTGCCTCCTGCACGCCTGGCAAGCACAGGGTCCACCTCGTGGCACCACAAACAGGTCGCTTAGCCAAGTGGCAGCCTAGGGAGCAACAACCGCTTCTCAGCACCTTCTTTTTTGGAAGAGCCCGGATGTGGGATGAGGCCGTAGCGGCCGTAGCCTCTGCATCCCTGCCTCCTCTCAGCCCTGGCCCTGGAGTGACTGCGCTCGGGAAGCGCTGTGCCGAATTTCGCCCCACATTCCTGCAACCACAGAACTGTCATCATATAATTAATCCCAGTTCATAGCTCAATGCATTGGAATGCACTGTGAAAAGTGTTTTGAAACTGCTGGATATTCAAAAACATTTTTTTTCCTTACATTAATTTTGATGAACACTTCACTAAGGCAGGAATAAAAGCCTGCATATGCCCAGAAGCTTGCAAATAACCAAACAGGCCAACTACCTTATAAAACCTTGGCATCAGCCACCACATGCAGCGTTTGGTGGGTGCCTTTCCAGGGTGCTGCTGTTCCATTATCACGGCAGCCACCAAACCCTGTGATAACAAACATTATTTTCCCTCCAGCTGCCACCAAAGGCAATGGAAACGACTTCACTTAAACTGGACAAGTTCTCATTGAGTGCCCAGTACAAGTCATACCCCAGGGATCGTGCCAGCAGCAGGGCTGCACGGCCACTGCAGCTGTGGGGGAGCTACCAGCTTCTCCGCAGTTAATAATCACAGATTTTGGCCTCCTCGCTGTCTCTTTCCCCATTTGATGGATGCTAGTTTAAATGCAAAAAGGACCTTTCGTGAAAGTCTTAGCCCCACAGGATAGATTCCATATGGTGCAGTCAAAGGAAGTTAGCCACGTGTGTCCTGGGATCTGCTTTCACGAGCATGAAGTTTATTCTGCTCAAGAAAAATACTGACCTGCCCTTTTACTTCCTTCTCCGTCAGTATTTCCTTCGCAGCCACAAACAAACAAAAATTCTCTCCTCAAATCAATTCTTGCTCTGCTGGGAGGCAGTACTAAAGTCAAAATCAGTGTATTAGATCATTTTCCACAAGATTTGTTGTGCACGCACACGCCTTGACAGCCAAGCGGGCAGGATAGGATGCATGCCGAGATTCTTGCAGAGCCTGAAGGAATTAGGTGTCACAAAGGCTGTCCAAAAGACACATCCTTCTTACAGACATCTTTTTTTTTTGTGTTGCAAAGGTGCTAGAAATGTTTGGAATGTTTTAAACCTAATCAGAGAATGCATTTTTTTTTAAGCATTGTAAGTTGTTTTCTACCACAAATCTCCTTTGCCTCTTGCATGTTCTCCAGAGTGCTCCACTACCTCACTCTCATGAAAACGTAGCAAACACTTTAAGGATCCCTGCTACTTCTGCAGTGAAATGGCTTCTGTTTGGCCAACGTATGGCAGAGTTCAGCACTGTACGAATCAGAGATATTTGCTATTACACTGGAATACGCTGATATGTAATGGTACCCCACCCTCCTCGTCAGCTACCGATCCAGATATTTGACCCACTCTAGGGCTCTTGGATGTCTCCAATTCAGGCAGCTGAGGGCGAAGCATTAAAAAACAAAACAGCCAGCAATAAATTACATCCAGACTCTTGGCAACAGAGCGTCTGAAGAGAGGCAGGTTGTGATCAGACAGGACTCCGCTCTCTTCATCTTGAACTCCATACCAAGGGCTGGGCTGTAGAGGCTCAGATGGCTTCACCCCTTGCCTAAGGGAAACGTGAACTGGGCTGTCTCCCCAGTCAGGTCCATAAAGACAGTTTCCTCCACACAAAGCCAAGGAACACAACAGCACAGCACTCTGCTCTGATCTCAGCAGCCTTGCAAGGACCCCACTAATGCAGCTGTACCTGTCACAAGGTCACTGCACAAGGGCCACCGTGCGGGCCGGGCTAACCCACGGCCACGGAGAGGAAACCTCCTCATCGAGTGGGACGCGGCCAGGGCCAGCACAATAAGGAACGTGTGGGAAAAGGAACCAGGCAGCATGAACCAAAACCAAAAATATATAAAAAGGAACAATCAAATGCACGTCCCAGTTGAACTGAATACAAAACAAAAACGTCCTCGGGATGATTGTTTTAGGCTCTATAAAGCAAGAAAATATTTTTAGGTGCTGAATACATGCCAGAGAAGCGTGGGTACTCAAAATATACCAAGGAAGCTGACAAAGTTCTAAACAAAAATGGATGATGAAGAAACAAGCCTGTGGTTTATGAAACACAAGAGCACAGATTAATCGTTATCACATAATGCAATAAATCAGTGTTATCTATTGCTCAATAATATTCATCTACCAGAACCACTCCTAAACAGTCCCATCAAGTACTTGTTTTAAATGCTCTGGATCACTACTACTGACTTACACAAGGAGGATAAGCCTACAGAAGCTGCCTGCAAAGCCTTAGTAACATTCAAGACTCTTGCAGCTGCGGTACTGGCAAAGCTCTAATGTACTTAACAAAATTGTTAATGAATTGACCTTTCCAGCTTGGCTGCAAAGCATCCCGTTAGGGGATTCAAGGTACTGCTGCCCCTTTTCCCACCTTTGTCAGGTGGCACCACAGGACCAGCCACATCGGCCCGCAGTGAGCGCTGCCAAGAGGCTCCTCAGGGCTCCTGAGGATTCCCCAGCTCCTGCTCAGCTCAGCGCAGGCTCCGCCACATACAAATCCCGTTCCAAGTGATTCTCTCTCACTCCCACACCTCCCATCTTCTATGGAGCTGCACCTATAGAGAGCTACAAATACCCAAATTCAGTAAAGGACAGAACGGGCAGGTAGGTGTTGGTCACTTCTAAGGACCATATTCTCAAAATTAACTACTGCTTTTTCCTATCAATGCGAGGCACCTTAGCAGAAACAGCTCTGTGGCTATTCAAAATGTCACACGGCCACGGATGTCGGTACCCAGACACGCACAAACCCCAACACTTGGAGAATACTTTGTTCTCGGTGTGTTGTATCTGTATTTGTCTTGCTTGTCCTGCATTTTTAGAAGGGAAGGTGCTGCTGTATAAATACGTCACAAAGGATTTTGTTTTCTAACTTCCTTCTAAATAACTTTGGAACAGTTTTTTGTCTTGTTTTTTTATAGTGGACATTTAGCAGCCCTGTATGTTTATAGTGCAAAGCAACTGAAGCTTTTCATTTTTTTCTGCTGTGTTCCTTATAAATAAATAAATTTAAAAGGGCAAAAAACAAAAGAGCCACCTAAACCCACAGAGGAATTATCTACATTTGATGTCTGTAATAACAAAGGGTAGCATTGCAGTTTGGGGCATAATGGCTAAAGCAGGTCAATACGATACGGAATTCTTTGCATCTCCTATGAGGAGTTTAACAAACAGACACATTACTATAGCAAAACATTAACTTGCAAGCCTTTTTCAAGTATCTTTTGCTTGAATGACTGTAGAGATGTCTTAATAGTCTCCAGACTATTTCAGTAGCAAAGAATTTTTTTTATTCAAATACCTCACATCTTATTATAGAGCCTCTTAAAAATGCCTTACAAAGTGTTGTAAATGTCAAAGGAAGGATCCACAGCCCTCTCTGTAGAAATAAAAAGACATTCCAAGGTTTAAAACAGTCTGTTATAAACTATGAACAGCACTAAGCCTGCTAACAGACCCAGAAATATCCCGACATGGAAAAAGGACAAATCTGTCCCTGGGGGGAAGCATTCACCTGGAGCAACTTTCTGTTTGCGGGCACAAACTCACACAGGTGAAACCACACCAGACGAGAAGAGCAGCACTTGAATTTCACACTGACCCCATCTCAAAAGATTGCTGGTGAGCAAGCACTAGAGACCAGAATTCCACATTGGGATCCAACGGCCAGCATTTTCAAAGCATGATTTAACTTTGGATGCCTTCAACTTGGGGAGCACTTGCGCTACAAGAAAACAGGCCTCTATATTGTCTCATGTTGGACATCTGACTTGTGTTTTTTAAAGTTACAGGTACGCTCCCCACCAAATGCTTTCTTTTTTGGTTGTTTTACAGAAACCCATGCAGAACAACATTGTAAATTTCCACACCTTCCAGGTTAAATAAAATGTTGGTCCCAGATTAACTTTTAGTGAAAGTGCAGCGCTCTCATCAGCACTCAAATCCTTATAAGATAAGTCAGCTGAGAAGTCCAGGCTGCACCGGCATGAAAGAAACTGTCTAAATCATGTGAAGTGGGTTCAGAAATGGGTGGGATCCACTAGGTGGGAAACATGAGACTGTAGCCTGCCCTGCTCCTGCCCTTTGAAAACCTCTTGCTAGAACCTGCCTTTTGACAGGAAACCCAGGACCATCCGGTTACTTTTCCTTGCACGGGACAGGATAGATGTAATGTAGCACCAGGAATAAAAGCACAAAATTCAAGTTTTAGGAAACAGGAGAGAGAAAAAAAGTACTTCTTCACTGCAGCTCCTAATTCCTTAAGTTTTCTTTATCTGAAAAGCTCTTTCTGTAACTATTGAGACCTGGCAACAAGGAATCTAATATGTAAAGAGTGCACCCCTGAGATACTACCGGTACTACCCACTGCCCCTGGGGCTTTAACCTGGAGCAGGCAATTGCTTTAAAGCACAAAACAAAACAAAAACTTTAAAAAACAATCAAGTGGGAAATGCTGGGAACAGCCAGAGATACCCTTTCTGGCAGGTAAGTTCAAAAGAGAGGAAGAGCAGCAGGTCCAACTCTTGTGTTCTACAAAATACTGCTGAATCTGTGAAACAACCATCCCTAATAACCAGGCGTTAGACTGCAGAGCTTAGACCAGAGCATCTCCAAAAATACTAATGCCATTCAGCTGAGAGTTCACAGGACTGTCCATTTACAAACCGACAAATAAACGTTTTTTTCAGTTGTTACTTCAAAGAGGCGTCCCTTGCTGATGTGCATTCCCGGAGAAACACGCCTGGCTATCCACCCCGCGCCTGCTTTGAAGTTGGGCCTACAGCAAGCTCCAGTTCTTCTTTAATCACACACATATCAGCTGAAGAACAGACTTCTCTTGCCAACATAGGATAAGAAGCAGTAACTATCACAGCATGAATTTAAACATCAGCCTTGCATTTCTCCCAGACATAAAAGATAAGTAATAGTTTGTGCTTTCATCTCAAACTGAACAGGCTACAAAAGCCAGTGCACAGAGCTGGCCATTTGAAGGGCTACGATTTCCACGTGGTTGCAGACACTGCTCCCTTGTGCAGCCAACACACACATGCAGCAGCACCACGTAGGAGACTGTTGAACACATCACACAATTTAGGCTTAAAACAACATAATTTTAGTTTAAATGGGTATCCTAAATTACAGGATCTACTAGGGAGAAAAATCCCATACAACCCGAATTAACATTTCAGTTTCTCTGAGCTATCATCAACGCTACAAAAGTCAAAGCAGTCCCTGAGGTTAGAGAGCTGTCTTCTTGCCTGTAATTTGGGTGCCACTTTGCAAAAATGTTCGCTGATTTTAGAAGTAACTGAAAAGAAAGAGGTCTTTTTTTTCCTTCCTCTAAGGAGAAAAGAAAGTCCAGAGGTTTTAAGTAACTGCACCATCATTTCAGATAGGGAAGGACATTGAGCAGTGTTCTGCTGTCTCCTAGGAACAGGAGGCTACTCACCCTTCCTTGACTTGGCCACTACCAGCTGGTGAGAAGCAGGAACATGCGGTAGGTCTCCCTCTGTGCTCTGGATCTACAGGAAGGAAAGGATGAGTATTGTGAGGCCAACTGGAATTCATTCCTGTGCTTCAAAATGCCTGAACTGCAATATACTGTAAAACATCCCTGTAAGAAAACAGTGTTTCTTAGACCAAAACATCTCTCAAACACACACACACAGAGCACAGATCTCCTCCGATCACACTCATTGCAAAAACGACCTATGACAATACTGAGAATTCTCAGGTCCCCTTCGGGAAAAGGCTCAAATAATAGCATCCAAACATCTTTAGACATCCTTACTCGAGTACTGACTTTTCCTTTTGGCATTCTTGGTCCCCTATTAGAGTAGGAAGAACAAGCAAAATACATTTAGAAAAGGATATGCAGAGATCAGCACATGAGAAGTGTCATCTGCTGTCCTACCAGGTATTTCTCCAAGGCCTGTGAGCCCACCTGAACAAGCGAGATCCTGCCAGAACCTACTCCAGACTCCACTACATTAGTACTTGTGGAAAAGCTTCCTTCATTTTTCAGTAAAAAAAGAAAAAAAATAGGGCAGATAATCCCAAGGAATGTTAAAACTACAATATATGGAAAATTAATACTGTTACTTAATCATTTTGTGAAACAAAGTCTTATTAAGAAAGCAGTTCACAGACAACTGTTCAAACAATGAAAAGAATAAGCTTGAGATCTGAACAGGAAGGCTTTTGTTTAGCTTGAAAGCTAGAATACATTTTCTCTTTAATGTGCTACAAAAAAAAAAAAAAAAAAAAAAGCTAATGGTTCGCATGCAAGCCTACACTTAAAAATAAAGTAGAAGAAACGCCCACCAACAGGCTGCCTGCTTAATTTCAAAGTTAAGCAACAGAAGCAATTCAAGCAGTGCAACTTTCACCTCCATTTGTGGGGACTTAAAACATGCAAAATGAGGATATTAACGTTTAAAGCCCAAAGCCTGTGTACAGCACCCACAAGGGTGCATCCTCTCACGTGCAAACTCCTCCAGAAGGAGGCAGCCTGAATCTTCCACTATTAGTGAGAAAAGAGACTATATATTGTATATTACACTCCTGCACAACAAATGGGAGAGGCTCCTATTCCCATAGCAGCTGAAAGCTGCACCGAAAGGGCAAATGACTATTTTGTGGAGATGCAAGGGAAGCTCAGCAGTTAAGCTTACAAAACCCATCCTTCTCAAAGAGCAGTAACGAGAACAAGCAATCTTACTGGCTCCTTGACTGCACTGGCCTTCCAGCAAAGGCATGCAGGGGGGTTGGACTAGATGATCTCTAGAGGTCCCTTCCAACCCTAAGCATTCTATGATTCTATGATCTTGATTCTCTTGAACCTGCCTGTTTCCAGCAGCTGAATTTGCAGCCTCCAGCCAGCGCAGCCCCTTCTCATGTGGCTCCCTCGCAGCCGCTCTCCCGGCCCACGCGGCGGCCGCCCCTTCTCCCTCCCGGTCCCAGGGACGTGCGGGGCCGGGGCGCTGCAGGGGCTCGCTCAGCGCTCCCGGGCTCCTATCTGGGCAGCGCAGGCTTCCCAAGGGCGCTCCGGCGAGCCCGGAAGAGGCTCCGCGGGCCCCGCTATCAGGGGCATGAACACGCTCCCGGCTAACTGGCAGTGCCCAGGGACGGGTGACGCCACTGTTTCTAGCACAGTTTATTGTTCTCGCTACCCCGTTGAGAGACGCACGGGGAGGGAAGAAAGAAATGAAAAGAAAACAAACCTCAAGCTGCCAGGTATTGTTCTGGAGTTTCTTTACCAAAACCAGGTCCCTCCCTCCTCGGACTGTGTGAGCAGCTGATACGTATACATGATATTGCATAAACAAGGAGCCACCACAACCCCATCCCACACCGCATGTGAGCCGGCCAAACCAGCTGTGTTTATGCACTGGCACCACTGCGAAGTATGTCAACCAAAACCTCGCACACGCAGCGCGTCCAGCTTGGACAACAGTTTTGTTAAGTCTTCTTCACTTCATAACCCTTTGCAGACCAACATACTCAGAAAGACAACTCCAGGCAGCTGCCTGGCGTTTTGTTTGCTTCACTTTGACCAACAGTGCCAAAAAAACAGGAAACATTTCTCATCTGGGATGTGTGAAAGCAGCCTATCAAGAACATAGGAGAAGGCATCTCCATGCAGACCCCTCACAAACATCTGTGTAGCTGCACAACAAACTGGATCAAGAAAATAACCCAGCCGAAAATTACACCAGGAAAAATAAAACACTCAAACACATGGGGCATCTTTTTCCCTCTCTCAGCAGCCCCCTCTCCTTGTCCTAGACGGCCATACAACATGTCAGTGATGGCACAGAAAAATGGCAGGAATTTCAAGGGGCAGAATTTGCTAAACCATCACAAATTGAAGACAGCCTTTGCTGTTTGCTTTAAGACTTTGGGAGTCTTCACTTATTTTCTTCACCCACTTCTATAATGAGATTGCAAACCTTCATTTTAATAATTATTTCACACAGATAACCGATCGGTAGCTAAGTTTTGCAACAGCAGCCACTTAGAAATGTGCCCACAAAAACATCTGCTGACTCAAGACAGATCTTGTAATTGAAAGTGTGAGTCTGTGTAGAAAATTGCATTCCTGAATCCGTAGGCTGCACATTTACTAGCCTAATAAACAAATCACAGGAACCTGGGAATTAAAATCCCTTTGGGACTATTACCAACGAAACAAATTGGCTAAATGCATTTATGAACATAGCAACAGGCAGTTAACAGAAATTGTAACTAAGCCACTGCAAAAAGGCAAGGGAACAGTGACTTCTAGTGAGTGCACTAATCTCTACCAAATAAGCAAGGCAACATACAGTGCATGGTCAACAAAGCCAAACTTATTTGAGGTGGGAACTCTACCCGACATTATAGTCCTTTGTCTTTTAATGCAAAAGGCACTTGTCCCATCCGTAAAATTATCCATAACCAGAGAATTTGAAGTATTCCTGGAGAAAACACCATCAAATACATTGGAGGGAACATTCCTCCCCTGGCAACCATCAAGTTATGTAAACTGTACGCAAAAACAAAGCCATTTATTTCCACCTACCTCTTCCATCTCAAAGGAGTCCTTCTGCGGCAGCATGAGATTCATTATGGATGGATTTGCTATTGGAGCACAGGGCTCTCTACTTGGCGATGACGTGGGAGGCCTTTGCACCTGAGTGCTACTCTCAGACTCACTAGAGGCGTTAGAATCACTGCTAAGGTTGGGAGAGTCCAGAAGCTGAGATTCCTCACACACTCTGTGCTGGGAGCTTGCCAGCTTGCTGTACGGCACAGTGCTCTCCTGCTCACCATTAGTTCCAGCAGGAAGGTCTGCAGGTTTGTGCACGTCCGTAGTATTTGTCTGATAAGCAGCCATCTCCTCCCTTACAGTAGCCAACAAGGAGGGCGAGTCTTTCTTTTTGGAGTGTTTTGGCAATTTGGATTCATTTTTAGCATCGTTTTCCTCACTGCCTAGTTCTGCAGGACCTTTCCCTCTGTCAACCGGTGACGGCGTGGAGCAGCCGCCGCCGTCGGCCTGCTGCGCGCCACACAGGTTGAGCTTGGACAAGGTCTTCATCAACCGGCTGGCCGTGTTGCTGCGGTTCAGAGGGGGAGGGCTGGGCGCCTCCTTGCTGGAGGACACTGAGTTCATGCTGCCAATTTTCTGTAGCGGAGTCCCAGAGACTTGAGAATATAAAGAAGAAAAGGCATTGGCCACAGTAGTAAGCACTTCAATCTGACGAAAGCGACCTGTGCAGGAAAAAAGCAAAAGGCAGAGTTTATGAGAATATCTGGTGTCACATCTCTGAACAGCTGACCCAGCTCTACGTGATGGTTCACAGGCAGCTCCTATCTTCACATTTAAGACAGAATTTGCTTCATAAACTGTCCCTCATCCCACCGCAAATCTCCTTCTTATATGAAGGAGCCCCAAGATGGAGCACTGTCTAGTCCTGTTACGTGCACGAAATACAACAGGGCATTAAGGAACAGAAAAACCTCAGCAAGGGCTCTTGATAAACACGCCCAGAGCAGCATGGGAAGTTTTCACAAAATAAAAATAAAGGACACAGATATGCAACTTCACATTAATTTACACAGTGCTAGCAAGAATGATCATTTAGATTGATTGCTCTTTCCATCTACAGCCACAACAGGACATTTCAGTTATGCCTGCATTTCAGAAACATTCATTACTGACTGCAGAAAGCTTCCAGCAAAGTCAAAGGAGACACTGGCACACTTTAACAACTACAGAATTAGGTCAGTGTTGAGAGTTCTCAAAAATCCTACCTGATACTGAGGAACACATTAAGAAGCCAGGTACTGCTATCTGTCTCAGTGCTTTAAACCTACAGCAGCAGACTGGCTTAGAAGCAAGAGATGAGAATGATACACAAGGGAAGGCATCAGGTCTGACAGGATGCCTTTCATTCCCCTCCCAACTATAAATTCCTTTCCATCATCCCTAGCTGTACAACACTAATGGTCACTTCTTGCCATAATTAAAACCAAGCAAGATTTTTATTATGGATTTTGAATGGAATTTCGCCTTTAGACTGTAAAGGTATTTTTGCCAGGACACTAAATAATAGCCTTTCTTTTGAGGTTGTTTATATACATTAAAATAAATAAATAAATCTCACTTCAAAAACATACTTACTCGTTAAAGCAAAATTTGGATTTTCCACTTCCATGCGCTGCATTTGGGCATTCAAAAACACTTTGATGTCTATCCCTCTGGCAAATGATGATGAATTAAAAAATCTTGCTGGAATTTTTGAAGCAATATCTGGTTCATCTCTTCCAAACCCAAGGTTATAGAGCACTTCTTCTGGGTCTTCCTCATAGAGCTCCAGTAATTCAGAAACACTAAAATGAAAAGATGTTTACCATCCACTTATCTCCTTTTGGGACATGGTCCCTTCTGCCCAATTGCTAATTTAGCTCACTATCCAGCTTTGCCTATTGAACTTTTGACTCCTACAACTCTGTTGATTTTAGGAAATAATTTTGGAGATATCTGTATCTGAAATGTTAGTTCGCACCACCACAGACATCAGCCCAGCTGCATTTCCAATTGGATTTTTTTTTTTTAATTTAAGGCAGATCACCTTATTCTGCAGATCATCATTTCTAAAATGGCATTAAAATTTCAGACATTTCTAAAGTTTAGGCCCATTTGTAAGTATTTACTGCAAACCACAGCTGAAAACAAGTAACACTTTTTCAAGCAACAAACTGAAAATTCCTTTCTCGGCTACTAAATACAACAAAGCACATAAATCAAGCCAAGTCTATTTAACTTAGGAACAGAAGACGTTTTGCCAGCAAAATGGTGCCAAATTCCACTGAACTGTGCCATGACCTTCAAAGCATAGCACTCTTTTACCTTGAAACAGTTGCACTGCTTTTTCCAGACCCTGTGGAGTTCATACTTCTCCCCTTCTGGTGAAACTGAAGCCTCCTCTCCTTCGCCAACATACCATTACTGTCAAGACAAACGGAGAAGACCACTGTGAGAAACCGGTTTCTTTCAGCAATTCAAGTCTTGGTCTCTGTGGAGAACGAAGTCTCCAATCCTGCCGAATTCCCCGTTTCCCGTTCAACGTTATCTGGTTTATATTAGGCATGTCATTTATTGAAACGGAGTAACAAAAGCACCCCCGGAGACACTTCAGTTAAAATGTATGTATATTCTTAAGAAATGGGAGGCAAATGCAAGCCAAGCAGCCCCTAATCTTCCCAGGGCTGTGCCTCCCGGCCAGCTCACAGCCGCCTGCAACGAGGAAACCCAACCTCGGGCACGGCCTCCTTCCCTTCCTGCCCGGGAACCAGGACGCCCAGACACTTTCTTTCCCAATCCCAAACTCTTTCCTCCCTGAATCTCTGGAAGCTGCTTCCTCATTAGCCTGTACTCCGTTCTCAAACGTAGCATTAACGACAACCTCTTCTCGGGACAGAATTCCCCAAGGGAATTTTGCTATACAAATACTAACCCAAAGAGCAGAACGGACGCTAAGATTTACTAAAAAGCCTGTTCTATGGAGTTTAGCTCAGGAGGAACATCAAAGGAGCTCTCTCTATAAAGTAGGAATCTTTCTCTTCCTCTCCAAGTTCTTCCTCCCTGCTCAGAAAGGTAAAACAACTTTTCCCTTGAAATTCCTGAAACTGCCAGGGATCAGTAAGCCAAAGAAAGAAGGTAAATCATACTAAACTACTTCAAAAATGTGCATTTTTCTCTCCGCCCAGAAGCTACAACAGGTCTGCCAGAAGGGTAAAAATCTGCATTTCAGAGTGACTGTTCTTGTGCTACCTGTAACTTCTCTTTTCCTCCCGAAAACTCACCTGAACAGAAAGAGAAGCCTTAGTCCTGAGGCAGCCTAACCACCTCCACTGCACCCCTTCCCTCACTCACTCCAGTAGGAATATTACTGCAAGTGAACAGAAAAGATGCTTACCATGCTTCCGCCGGGGTATCACTCCGTAGATGATTAGCTGGACAGAAAAAAAGAGTAAATTACAGAGGGACCTCCTCTATATTGCACTGCTCATAATCGAAATGAAAAAGCAGCCGATGAGCACTCTTCTGAATACTACCACATGAATCCGATTTTTTCTCTTTCCAGATAATAAGACTGTCAAGAGTTTCTAGTATACAGCTGATGTAAACATGATCTGGTTTATTCAGGCTCTGTCCAAAATAAAGTCTCACACAGACATAAGTTTGCATTCTATAATTAATCATGTTAACTTGAAGGTTTACATGCTGTAAGTTAATAATTGTTACTCAGAGAGACAATTTAGTTTTTGCAATTTAGGACATGTTTACCAGCCGACAGATTTTTCCACAGACAGGAAAGGGGAGGAAGAAGAGAACATATGCAGACAGTTCAGCTAGAAGAAGAAGAAAAAAAAAAAAAAAAAACCTGGCTCCCATGGCCAGGCACTGAGAGTATATTCTTCAGCCCTTAAATCATGACTGCTAGTTTTCAGCTTGGGGGCAGGCCCAATGTCTTTCAGCTGTGCAATTTCTAAATAGAAGCTGCATGCAGGCACCCGGTCACCAGTTTGGTGTACAGAGTACGAGCATTTCCCTGAAGCTGAGACACTTCAGCTCCACATGTGAGCATCCCAGGCAGCGTGGCTCTTTTAGAAAATCCACATCCTGCCAAACCAGAGAGCTGAGCCTTTCCTTTAACTACAGGCTCCCTGAAGCAGCGACTCAACATTAACAAACCGGCCACAGGAGAGAGGCCAGGAGTGTGTGTTACACCTGGGCTTGTCCCATAGCTGGTTCAGAGGGGTCCTGCCAGGAAAACCCAGCATCGAAACCAGCTGTGCCACAGCAGAAGTAACAGACAGCAAACTGGAAAACCTCAGCCCTGGTGCTTCTCATGCAGAGACCTAGCTAAGAAACTCAGCTGCACACGCTCAGAATCCACAGTGCAGAAACAGATCCTCCCTTTTCCTTTCTCTTGCTGGCGGCTGGTTTTAGCAGCCGAACCACAGGCGTGCGCGTTGCAGCAGCTTGTCCGACGCTGCCCACGGGGCTCGCGCGGGGCAGGCAGCTGCATTCCCAAGGGAGGGCCCCTCCTGCTGCTGCTCTCCAGCGGGAAGGCACGCGCTGCGGGAGCACCCACGGCTGCATGCAGGAAAATGCCAGTGTTAAGACTCAAAAAGGAAGGAAACCTCAAAACCAGAAACACCTGATAATGATGGATGAGGCAAAAATTTGAGAAGAATTAAAGGTATACGATTTACTAAAAAGTACCCGCTCTTTTATTCTTGGTTATATGCTCAGAGCTTGGATTATTTTAACAAAGAACTTCTATGAAACTTTTATACTGCAGGCAACCCGACAAGTAGAAAAGACTATCAGAAAACGAAATGTAATCCTATTTACTGTATTGCAGTAAGGGATTAATTTACTGCTTCTCCATCATAACCAGATCAAGGGCTTTATCAGATCAACTGATTTCCTCACAGGTCTAGAGTCTTTAAAAATTAAAACTGTTTCCCACCCTTAAGCCCTGTGCCATTAGTTTGGCAACACTGCTGAGACTGCTAAGGAGAAAGAGACTTTCCACTATACAAGTTCTGACTTTTTCAGGAGCTACAGTTCCAAATAAATAAATAAATAAATAAATAAATTTTTTTTTAATTTAGTAGAAGAGACTTAAAGAAGGTCCAAAAACAACCATATCTCATCCTCTTAAAAAAAAAAAAAGAAGGGAAGGGAAGGAGAAAAAGAAAGAAAGAAGCAGAAGGTAGCTACTGACAGCAAAAGCGTCAGCATATATATCAAGGCTGATCAAAAAAAGTACTTGCTCAGCTTTGGATTTTTTCACTTTTAAAAGCACTTAGTTGCTAATGGGTTTGCCTCTTGGCTGATATAACCCCCATCCTGCTTTCAGAAGGCCACGTGTGCCACCCCCCAGGGGTTCAATGGAAGTGAGGTATGTAGGATTGCCCAGAATAACCCATGGACAAGAAGAACAAGTAGCAAGAGGAGAATAAAAAGCTTTCTCACAGCTTCAACAAGCGCTATGGGCTATATTGCTGCTGTGGGTATTAAAACAGAGCAGACGGAACAGAACTCAGGGCTGACTTTGACCTTCAGGAGAGACCAGAATATTTAACAAAATCAATATTCCAATAAATCCAAGAAGCCAAACTTGAGCATTTTTGTAAATTTTCCAAGCTGGTTTTATAGCTAGCTTTACCAACTACCTTTGACCAAAAAGGAAATAAACGTCTTTCCAAATAAAAATCAGACGACTGAATATAGGTTTTTTTGCTAGAAAGAGTCATAATCCTACCACACCCACCTTCGGCTCCCAGGGATAAGTCATCTTCAAAACTTCCTCCATTTCTCACCAGCATGCCTGCAAAAGTACAGTCAGCAGCTCAACAACTATAACCTTGCAGCATATTCTGCCCAGCAGCTCAAATAAAGATATTAGCAAGATGCTTCCAGTTCATACAACAGGAACCACTAGACCATATTTATAAATCCTACATCACTCATACACTGAAAAGTTACAGTTGATACCATAGAAAATGTAATGTGCAAGAGAACAAATAATACACTGCTTTCGTTTCCTGCTCAGCAACTCCCAAGTCAAACTATGAGCAAATTAACTCTCAGTGCAAACCTGGAGGTACTATCTAAAGTACCTGTAGCTGCTGTTATATTATACTTCATGTATCTTACCAGGGAGTTTCAGAGTTATAAAATGAGTTTAGATCAGCCATTCCCTTCTCTCCCCCTATACCAGGGTGAGACTTCAAGCAAAGACTCCAAGCCCAGCAAGTAATTTCTCTATGCTGTGTCACTACCTGCAAACTCTTGCTGTACTTTGAACTTTAGTATTCAGTCCTGCTCAGATAGTAAAATTTTCAGGTGTGGCAACCTCAGGTATTAGACAGAGACTACCTAGCTCACCTAAGTCAGAACTAAAGTTACCAAGCTCCCCTTCCTGCTCGTTTGGGAGTTTTTGTAAGGCTCACTGAACTCCAGGAAGACTTCATCAGGATCTATTTGTTCTTCCCAGTTTCTCTGGCACCACCGCTTTGCTGTGGTAACAACTCACTGGTGCCGATGAGACTACGGCGGCTTGTGCCACTGATAAGGAACTGAAGTCACAGGTGAACGTACACGAACACACAGTTCTCAGTAACAGAAAAGGTTTCAGCAGGCAAAGCCTTTGCTTACCCTTCAACAGAGGATTGCTTTGCTCATCCAGGGAGGCTCCCAGAGGCGTTCTGAAACCACAGAAGAGATTAATACTGGTTTAAAAACTTGCTGCTTCATGTCCTTCCTTACAGTGTGCAAGAGGCTTGTGATAGCAGCAGTTGTCCCTCCCTCCGCCCCCAGAAAGCACAAACATATGAGGACTGGCAACAACTTCCTAAACAATCCCCAGCCCTCTGAACAAACACACCTCATAGGGGAAAAGAAAAACAACAAAACAGGTTAATGACCGCACTGCTGAGACACAAGCCAGTGGCAAAGCTTCACAGCCAGCAGGCCTCTGTCAGGGAGAACATGGACCTCTGAGCAAACCACCTAGAGAAACGAGTATGGATTGCTGGAACGGATTAGTTCCACGTCTTCTACATGCCAGAAGCTGTCACCATTTTTCCCCAAATTTAAAACTTACTAGCATCAAGTTACCTCAGGCTTTGGAGAGCAGGGACAGAAAGCTGTATTTGCTGATCAGAAGCAAGATAAGAATCTTTATGGCTCTGTTCGCTATCGCTTGCCAGTTCTGGCATTTTATAGATTCTTTACTTTAGCTCTTATTTGCATGATTTTTCCCAGTCTTATTCCTCGAAAGGCAGTGGATTTTCTAAATCTCACTGTGTCTAAAACCAGCATCAGAAACGGCACCAGTGACAGGCCCAATTCCTTTAGGCGTTCGCACCGAATTTGTTGACATTAACTGAGTATTTCTCTACTAGTCCCTCAGAGACCTGTTTAACCAAAGATCTGTCACCAGTAAGTAGTGCAGCATAACTTTCAAAGCCCAAAATAAATTCAGAAATAAAACACTCAAAGAAGGGGAAAGCAGATGATTCATGTGCCTATATGTTTCACTTAGGGTTTTAATTAGACAAACATATAAACCTGCCCAAAGAACCCGTTAAAGTCAATAGTGCTCTATTTACAGTATTTGTTTTGGTGCCACAGCCAAAATTAAGCAACAAAAGTTTGCATTTGCTGCTTTGGAATAGGCCTTATATTTTTCCTTTTTTTTTCTGAAAATAGCTCACTGTTACCATTGCCTATGACAAGCAACACGCTAACTTTGACAACAGCTCTTCTAGAGGTGCAGAAAAAATACACGTTATAGCAAGATGGCAATTGTAAGAGCAAGAGCATCCAGGCAGGTGAACAGGCTCCCCGTGACTGGGAACCAATCTGAGAGAGACTTGGATCCGCTGGATTTCTGTGCACCTCTCAATTTGGGGTTTTAAACAAGTTAGGGTATATTGTCTAAACTTTTCATGCTACAACAAGTCTCAGCTCTGAGGCAGTAACTCTGCCTGCTGTTCACTCCCTGGCTTTGATGGGCTATTCCCTCTTCTTTCCCCTTTGTCTCCCCCGGTGCTATTTCACTCTCACTTTTTTGAGGCAGAAACTTGCTGGCAGTGACTGTGACAGCCCTGGCAAAGAGCAGCAAAAGCGACCACTGAAGCTGGCATTTTCCCTCGGAAACCAAGTCTGCCACCTCCACTGCATGCTAGCAGCTAGCAGAAAAGCAGCTCTCTTAACTACTCATCTGCTTCTGCATCCTTACACAACTGCTTAGCACTCCTTTCTGCTGAAAAACTTGCATGCAAGTACTAGGGACCTCGTGACTTTAAGCAAGCAAGAAATACCAGTACAAAAAAAGAAAAAAAAAAAAAAAAAGACAAAAACTCTTGGACAACAGCATGCAAGAGTTTTACCTTTCTGCATAAGACTATTTCCCAACATCAAGGCAGCTTAATGCGGGTACCTCAGAGACCTCTCTGCTCTGCGTCGCACCCAAGGGAAAGGCCAGGGCTGCTGGAAGCTGCTGCCCAGCTCCTGCTGCAGGTTCTCCAGCACATCCCACATCCCGTGTGAAGCCACTTGGGCAAACAGAGCAGGGATGCCCAGGGATCAGCTCTGCAACATACACTGGCCTGCTCCAGGATCTGGGGATCCTGCAGTTCTCACTTGCTCTCTCGCACAGACGATTCATTTATTTGTTATTGTATTTTAACATACATGGTAATAACATATCCCAAAGGAGCGTTGGAAAGAACAGAGAGAGGCCCCTCTGCGTGGCCAGTGCCCAGGCCCCAGGGCGAGCGGGCGGCAGGACGGGATGCGGCTCCGACGCCCCTCGTCCCGAGCTCTGCCCGCACGGCCAGCGGGTGCCTTCAGGAACAGGACAGGGACTTCGCACCGGGCTCTAAAAGCAGTTTTAAACCTCAGCTTTTAAAGCTTGAGCTGGGCAGGAGAAATGTTTATTTTAAACTCAAAAAAAAATCTCTTCTTTTTGAGGCATTTCAAGAACTCATTTCCTGCACACTCTACAGGAGATATTCCTAAATGCCTCCAACACTCCCCGTATTACTGGAAGCATTCAAACATCCTGAATTAAAAGAGTGTCATCCCAGAACTGGTAAGAAAAAATTCTATTTTTCTGTCCACATTATATGGACACTTTTGTTTCCTTTGCTAGCCTTTTGAAAGTTAAAGATAAAAGTTTCTGCAGGCTTTCCTATCACTTCAAATGGCTTTTCAAAATATTTGGGAGACAGAAACAAATGCCTTTCTCAAAAAGATGGGATTCCCAAAAGATGAATGGAGCAGAAGCTTTGGGCAACATCAGATATTTCCTAACCCTCTATAATTATCGCTGGTGTGCAGTAACTTGCTTTTTGTTGCCTTTTTTTTTTTTCTCCTAGATACAACTCTACCAAATTAAATAGTGAGAGGTGTTAGGAACTCCTCTTCCTCCTGCAAAACAGATGTGAAATGGAGTTGCCAAGAAATTGCGGCCCCAATCTGTTAACGTGAACATCAGGGACAACTAGTAATTCTTTTTCTTCCAAATTATAATACAGTTGATGCTTTTGGAAACAAAGAAATAAGTCTTATAATCAGACCTGTTACACAGTGAGTTAACGCTAATTTCTGCTCTACTGCCCACGCAAAACAGAAAATGAGATTTCATGCATGCAAATTTTCTTCCAAGGTACATTTCACAAAAGCATATGTAAATCAGACAAAACGGGAATAATCCTTTTTTAGAAAATCCCTAATAGAAAAAAATGCTTAATTTTAGTAACTGAACAACCCTTTGGGGTAATGGTTCTATTCTGCAAGACAGCCAACTCACAAGGATCTGACTAGTGCAATGGACAAGAAACATAAGACTGAGTCTGCGTATGTTGCAATCAAAACTTCCTAGCAAAAAACACAGTATTATTAAAGAAATAATAATTCTCAGGGAAAACAACAGCTTTAAGTTTTCACAGCGACTGCTCTTTTTATCTGATATCTTTTAAGCAACATAACATGT